CCAGATCGTCACAAAAAGCTGCAAACAAAAACTTTTCTTTAAATGTTACCTTTACCAGCACATTATTTCTAATACAGTTAGCCGTTTACACCATAACCTGAGTAGAACATGTTCTTTTAAACAAAATAAAAATACTTGAAAGTTTTTAAAACATTTTTTAGTGCATTTCAGCTCAGGATTTATCTGACATTTTTAGTTTCATTTTTTTTCCATTTTTTTAGACACCACGATTTCTCACAAAGTCTCTTATGTTCTGAAGTGAGCGATTTTTCAAAGCAGGATGTTCTGCCTTTTGACACTGTTGAATTTCAATAAAACTTGCCAACTTCCCAGACTCAATGTGCTCCCGAAAATGTCTCATTACTGCTGCAATTTCTGTCGAGGACCAGGGCCGTTTCTGGTTCTTCTGAGGATGGTCCTTTTCAGTTTCATTTTCAGGAAAAGCTAGAAACAAAAGAGACAAATTAACTTTTTAAAATACAAAAAATATGTAAAAGTCTGCTATAAAAGTATGCTTGTGATAAGGTTTCACATCCCAGTCCAGTTTGCTCATTGAAGACAACGTTTTGACAATTAGATTGCTCAACTTGCATTTATTCACCACGTGAATTAAAACAAATATGTAACTACCTAAAGTCACATTACTGCAATTTTCTTAAATAATTGAACTGATTACCAAGTTGTGATACACAGCATTTATTCCATATAAAATGTAATAAATTTAGTTGAGAGGTTCAGCGGGTGTCAGAGACTCTACAATGGCCAACTGTAAGCGACTTGATCTATTTTTTCCTCTGGATTAATTTAAAAAATGTATTTACAGATTAATATTTCCATGTACATGCTCATTATTTTGCTTGTTCTCAGTTATATCCAAATTACTTAATTGTAAATTTTAATTACAATTAATATTTAACAACTTGGATGGAGTAGCTCATCGATGCATTAGCAATTCCCCCTTGGGATCAATAAAGTATATTGTATTCTGTTAAAAATAAAATAATTTTAGTTACAGTTTTGGCTCAACTAATGCTCTGAGTGGGTAGTTTTTCCAACCAATATACAAATTTTAATGTATTTTCCAGCTGATTATTTGAACGTGGTCAGTAACTAATTTAGTAAAGTTGTTTCAGCCCTATGATAAGCCTTGAGTCTGCATCTGTAAAAACTGGGTAAAGAAAAACCATGAATAGGAAGACAGTCATACCATCAGGAGCATCTGAAGGTTTTTCAGTTGGTGGTGCAGTACTCTCCTCCTTTCCCTTTCCTATAATACATTAATAATACTTCAGGCCAACAATTAAAAAAGAGATAGAAATATTTCATTGAGTTACTTAATGTCCAATGAAAAGCTAATTTTAAAAAGTCATACCAGGAGAGGTCTCAGGTAATTCAACAGGGGACGTGGGTTTTCTGAATCCTGTCAAATTAGAGATCGAGCTCTGCTATATTAGTCTTGACTGCACAGAAACCTAACCTTTTAACCAAAATTATAGTCACAAGGTAACATTTTCAATATTACTGCATTTTGTAATTATGTCAAATTACTGAAACAGAATAATCAACTTATTCTAGGACGGGGGGGGTGTTATGTTCCGGGGTTCTGGCTGCGCACATACCACCTTTTGCCACCAGAGGGCGTCAGGTTCCGGTTGGAGTGCGGTCCGGTATCATCAGCAGCTGATCGCAATCATCCTCATCAGCGGTGCGGACTTAAGGAGTGGGTCGCCTGTCCAGCGTCGCCTGAGTGTTAGCCAGTCACGGTACCTCTCAGCCCTCTGAGCCCGTCCCTGTGTTTTCTGGTGATCCTTGATCATAGTATTTACCTTGTTTGCTCCTGCGCCTTTCAGGTGATCCCTGGAGGAGATCACAGGTGAAGTCTGCCCAGACTCACATCTCCGCTGTTTGCAATTGTCTCCTGGACTCCACGACTGGCAGCCGTCCCACTCCTCCGTCTCTCCGTTGCACCCGAGCCTGCCTGTCCGCTC